CTATGTAGAGTTTGCATGCCAGCGCGCGCCCCAGGCTGCGAGTGGGGGAGCCCGGGCCAGCGCTGGGCGGAGTGGGGTGGCGCTAGGAAATGCATGGCCACGTTTCGTGTCTCGTGGGCTGTCTAGCATGCAGAGGTAGTGTGTGGACACCGTGTATGCCGTTGCTGTATCAAAGTTGTAAAGTTAAGCATTATTTATTGAAAACGATGTATTTTTTTGTACAAACCCGATCGCATAGAGAATATCAGCGTTCGCGCCCCGCGCGGGCGGGACAGCCCGGCCGCCCACCTCGGTCTGCAGTGTTATTGCTCAGGGTTGAAACCTCCACCCCCACGTCTCCTGCCAGAGCCTCCCACGGAGGAACGCCTTTGTCCGAAAGACTGAATCGGGCGGAGCGTGCGCTCGGCCCGCACGCGTGGGTTTCTATGGGACTTTTCTCCAGGCTTGCATTTGATAACTACTGTTCCGTCCCTGACGGGGTGTCCCCAGGACGGACATGGACAGGCTCCCAAAGGACTGGGTGTCAGACAGGAGGGGGGCCGGGCGGGCGGGCGGGCTGGGTCGGTCACCGTGAGCGCGGGCGTGGCGTTTGGGGTTTGTCACTGGCCGATGGAGTGAGTGAAGCCTGGGCTACGTGTACGAGGGTAGGTGGACATGGTTGTCGGAAACCGGTGACGTAGGAAATGAAGGAAGACTGTCAGGGGGTCGCTGCTGTCGAATTCAATGCCAGCAAACTCCATTTCTCTGTGTCTTTCGTTTCGTTTTGTTCTTTTCGATGAACGATTTACAGTGTAAATGTATTTTGACATAGAAATCATTCTGTACTGAGATTCCTGCTATGAAATGCTTTTATGGAAGCCTGTAAGTGATCCTTGGAATTATCAGATTTTTTAAAACATGTGTTTACATGGTGCGTGTGTGTTGTACATTAAATTTGGTTTTGTAGAAACGCTTGTGTCGTATTGTAACCAGGTCCTCGGTCACATCCGCGTCCACCCCTCCCCAGGGAACAGAGGCCGGCGGCTGGAGACGCAGGGCTGAGCTGCATCGCGTCCGAGGGCCCCGGAAGGGCCCATGTTGCCAGTGAAGTCTGTAGACGGGTTGCGGGCAGGATCCCCTCTGGCCCGGGGGAGGTTGGTCTTCGTGTTTTTTCAAGGTCTT